TTTGAACATGAAGTCGTCTTCTGTGGAGTCACCCTGCAGACTCCTATTTTCATCAAATTTGCACAAAGTCAAATCTGTACACCTTGAGTCGCCTGTCTTTCTAGTCCCAGCAGTTGAGTGGGGCAGACAGAGTTTTCTCACCTCTCACAGCAAAGCTATCAATGAAGAGGTTTAGTTAGTAGAAAACATGTGCCATCAGCGTTGACACACGCTCATGTGTTCAGTCTGCATGCTCGGTTACTTATCCAAACCAAACTAAGTCTCACCTTCATTCCTGCCAGACTAAGCAGAAACTCAGGAAAAACACCGTTGAAGATCTCCTCTCCTCCGCTCTTCCTCTCTCTCAATGAATCACTATATAGTCAGAGAAATACCTCTGGTCTGTAATCCACTCTACATCTCTTGGAGATGCAAATCCATTCAGGCTGAGTGAATTCCTATAACCAGGGGGCTCACTAGTAGGACATGGTTGGTGGTGTGGAGTCGCAGACTGAGCATCAGTCTGGAACCCCCTTCCCTTCCATCCACCAGCAGTGTACAGGAGAGAAGCACATGTCCCACCATGCATGAGTCTCACACAGCCCTGTCTTCTGCCTAGGCGTCTCTCCTATTCTGAGGCTTGTATCTTCACCGTCTCCTCACTGACTTATTCGAACCAAACTAACCAAACTAACCCATGTGAACTCACTTTCCGGGGGGCGGGGGACAGTTCTCGGGTAACACTTCCATTTTCTGATGCACAACATGCAGCTTCCTGAAAGTGAGAAGGCCTGTATGATCCTTGATCATTTTCTTGGGATAACTGATAACCCATAGGGAAGGTAAGACAAATTATCTTGGTCAACTACTTTGTAGTCATTACACATAAACACATGCACACTGCTTTCAGATTGCGTTCTACCGCAATACAGGAATAAAGAACATCCTAGTGCATGTATCCACTGAGCTGTTAGCAATGAACAGTTTAAGGTAAGTTCTTAGATGTGAAATGATAAGGGCAAAGAACATACAGCCTCTTATATTCCCATTAAACAGAATTTGACACCATTTTTAAACTTTGTCAAATTGATAGGCATCCCCAAAACCTTGTCTTCATTTTTATTGTTTTGCCTTTTAGTAAGGCTAACTCTCTTACTGACTTGAAATATTTTTGGTGTACTGAGTCTTGTGACTATGTACACTATGGAAAAAAAGAACCCTCTAAAGCCCTCCCATAAAATTAGGCAAATTTTCACTCTCTGCTAATAGAAGAAAATCAAAATATCAAATCAAGAGATAGAAAGATGAACTATGAACATATATACTATGAATATAGTATAAGGGTGCTTGCCATTAAGACTGACAAACTGAGATCAATGCTCAGGATCTACTTGGCGGAAGAAGAAAACCAGCTCCCACAAGTAGTTCTCTAAACATGCACACATACAAACATGCGGACGCACACGTGCTCATGCATGCACACATACACATACTTGTTATAAAGAAATTATACCTTTTTTATAGAGTCTCATTTTAACTATGGTTTTGCATACTCCCACATGCTGCTGATTCTTGGTAGACAGACTTTTACTCCGGGGAAAGAAGGGTAGAGACGGGATAGACAACAATCATCTACACATCCACAAAGTCAACCAGGACATTGGAATTTACCAACTTGTGGTTGGTACAAGGACTGTGGAACAGACCAGTCAAACAAGCCTGGAGAAATGCATGAACTGGTCTTGGTACTTGCTTTCCCAACCAAGAACTATACAATTGCTTGCCCATGTCTCCATCCAGAATTTTAGAAGATAAAATAGGCTTCCATTCTTCCTCCATCTGCAACTTATTTTGTTGTAAAGAATGAGGAATCTATTTTTTTTTTGCAAACGAATGGTCATCTGTCAGTGCTTTCCTTGTTAATACCAAATGTTACTCTTATGCTGAGTTCTTACACATTATTTGCTTCTGCATTCCCTATCCAATTCACCAACTTATTTGTTCCACAAAGCTTAGTTACTTGATTTTATAACTCATAATAAATTGGATTCCTATGAATTATGTGGGGATAGAAACATCACATCTTGTAACGCCAGTCTAGGGAATAAAAGGAAGGAATGGTTTTGAAATGGCAGCCTTTTGGCTTTGGGCAATTACACATCTTTAAAGACTTTGTCCTTCCACATTGGATAGGATCCCTCTGGCTTCCTTGGAGTACCTCTTCAGTTCCTGTGCGTTTCTTACCTTACGTACTTTGATCATCAAAAGACATCTGGTTCGAAATCTTATGACTAAGCAGCTAGTTCCCTAAGTAGAATAGAGTTTAGTTATAGCCACATAAAAGCAAGTACAGATTTTATCTATACTTCTAAGGAAATATTATTGGCAGAAACTATGCTTTCAATGGACTCAATGTAGTTGAAATAATGGAAATCTCATCTTTGAGAATATTTGCTCCTTGAGACCCTTTCTGCCACCCCCTCATCATTTCACTAACTCATACTTTTTCTAATGTCACCTTAAATGCTGCTTAGTCATGGAATAAATAGGCATCATCTTACAAGTGCTTATCATGCATAATAATTTCAATTATATAAATTATTGTTTAATTATTGTATTGTTGTCTCTCTCCATAGTCTGAGTTCCACAATGACAGTGATCATGTTTGTTCGATGTCCTCAGTGCCTAATTCAGAACTTAACACACAGTACGACTTCTGTAAATTTTGTAACAAAATATATAAAAGCTTAATACTGTCAACAGTGGGACAGCATTACAGCAAGATATAAGCTTGTTTCAAGGTCAGAAATGCCTGTGTCCAAATCTGTCTGTACCTTTTATTAGCTGAAAGATCTTAGGCATATTGCTAGGCTTGTCAGCACCTCATTTTACATATCTGTCAAGTGAGGACAGCAGCCTCTGTGAGGAAAGGCTTTTTGAACACAAAACATGTAGCATAGCCAAGTCAGCTACTATCACCATGACCATGAGCCGTTTGAAGGAAAATAAAGATAAGGCATGGAAAAATCTTAAAAATATCTCACTTCACATCAAGTCCTTTCCTGAATTTTTTTTTTCAGCTGAGGATAATACAAAGAAAACCTCCCAAACAGAAAGATTGCTTGAAGTAAGTCATAACTGACACAGATTCCTATGAGTGTGAACGTTCCAGTGGGTACGAAGAGCTAAGCATATATTCTTCCATACAAACTCATTCTTTTTGATGTGTTTTGGTTTTTGAAACATGGTTTCTCTGAGTAACAGCCCTAGCTGTCCTGAAACTCAATTTGTTGACCAGGCTGCCCCCAAACTCATGGAGATCCACCTGCCTCTGCCTCTCAAGTGCTGCGATTAAAGGCATGTGCCACCACACTGGTCTCAAACTTCTTCTTTTAGCCCATAAAATGAAAGAAGAGAAACCTTCTGCTGAAAAAAGTTGTCTGGTCATACAAGAATGTCTAACAATGCCAGCAAATTTTCTGACATAGAAGGTCATTTCCGGTGGCATCTTAACTAGGCTGTGCAGGAGAATCCAGGGACAATGGTTAGCAGATGCCTTGTGTTCACATCCAAATCATTGACCAGCAATGTCAATTATCAGTTCTGAAATCCACGGTCAGCACTAAGTTTATATTCATCCCAAGGTCACATTTACTACTTATGTTTAATTATAGTTGAGTGCTTGCTGTAAAACCTCATGAAGAGTTTCTTCCTTGGCCTACGAGCCAATTTGGTGGGTTAGATTCAGGAAGATTTCTATAGGGAAGAAATAAGAAACACAACACCCTCAAGTCGCAATGCTTAAAGAAAAAAAATCAGTAATATGTGACCATGAGAATAAATTATTCATGGGTATATATGTATATCTGATTTTGATACAAATAATTCCCTAATTTACTCCTTTCTATTACACCAACATCTCTCAAAAAGTACCAGTTTAGAACCCCACATTATGTGTCCACAAGGTCCCCCTCTATGATAAATGTTGACATGGCCCAATCTCATGCAGGTCTTGTGAAGATGGCCACTGTTGCAGTGAGGTCATGTGTACAATGGTGACGCCATGTCCAGAAGGTATCTCATTGCTACCCACCTCCCCCTCGTCTCACTTTTGTATCCTCTCTGCTCTCTTTTCCATGATATTACCCGTTGTGGTTACCATGGGCTTGTTACCATTCAATAGACAGCTACCATCCAATGTTTGAATGCTTAGACACCCAAAATCAAATTGTATGAAAGGATTAGAAGGATTAGGAAGTGTGTCCTTATTGGAGCAAATGCGTCACTGGGGGTGGGTGGATTTTGAAGTTTCAAAAACCCACACCAGGCTTAGGCTTGTTCTCTCTTCTCTCTCTCCCTCCCTTCCTCTCTCTCTCTCTCTCTCTCTCTCTCTCTCTCTCTCTCTCTCCCCCACCCTCCCTGCAGATCAGGGTATGAAGCTGCTCCAGCACCTTCCTGCATGCTGCCATACTTCCTGTCATGATGATAATGGCCTAAACCTTTGAAAAGTTAAGCAAGTTCCTGGTTAAACGCCTTCTTTAATAGGAGTTGCCTTGGTCATAACATCTTTTTAAAACAATAAAACAGTGACTAGGACACTAAGACATTTGTTGAGCCTTGAAGGGGACAATAGCTGGACCATTTAGGACAGAACACTCACTATCACTTTTTTTCAACACATTAGCCAGATAATGACTTTCTGCATTAACTGCCCCTGTTACAGCAAGAAGCTTCTCTGATGAAGGCTGAGCACATTAATTATGGGTGTAAAAAATAAGTTGTTTTTTTTTTTTTTTTTTTTTTTGCTTTTCAAGACAGAGTTTCTCTGTGTAGCTCTGCCTATTCTGGAACACATTTTGGAAACCAGGTTGGCCTCGAACTCTCAAAGATCCACCTGCCTCTGCCTCCTGAGTGCTGGGATTAAAGGCATGTCCCACCACTGATGGACAAAAAAAAAAAGACTTTTAAAGGCATTTTGATAACCTGACTATGTAGCAAAACAATAAAAGCAATTAACCCACCTAAGGCATATGACCTCACTACCCCTGGGCTCTTCACCAGGGTTGCAGAGTCAGGCATGTGTTTCCTTCAGTGGGCGTGGGCCTCAGATCCAAGCAGAAAGCAGTTGGTTACTTCATCACACTAGCATCCCCACCAGTGGTCTGCCACTCCTGGAGATACAGAATCAGAGTCTCTCTTAAGGCTACATCCCAGCTCTCTGATGAGAAAGAAAGGTTAACAGAAGGAAATGAAATGCCCAACTTCCCTGTCATCTTAGACCTCTAAATGCTTGAACGACTAGCCAGTATCAGTGATTCCCTCAGATTGCATCACTGCGGAAAACACAATTTTGTTTTTCTTTAGTTTTATTTGCGCAACTTGCAAGTTTAATTATTTCTTCATAAACGTATTTCTACACTTGGCAGTGACTTTATGCAGGAGTGATCACAGCTTTGAAGGATGGGGTTTGAGTTTTTGCTTTTATCATTACAATGTGGTCTTGCTAGCAATAAGTGGACTCATTTCTATTTCAGTGGACAAATGTTCATATCCAAAGCCAGATGTGGAGCCTCACGCTTATAATCCCAGGATTTAAGGGACTGGGACAGACGGGTCCCAAGTTTGAAGCCAGCCTGGTCTACGTAGCGAGACTTTGTCGCAGACTCAGAAACTAAGACAACAAAACAGAAGAAAAGAGAGAGAAGAGGGAGAAACAGTAGAAGTGGCAGGCAAAAGAGAGCTAAGAACCAGGAGAAAGAGGGATGTGTTTGCAAAGACAACTATGAAGGCAAATGAACAACAAATGTTGTTGAGAAGAAGATGATCTTCCAAGTAAGGCAGAACCACAAGGCAATAAGAGGACACATCAAACATTACAATGAACGTTCCTTTGGTCCTCTGCGGCCAGAAGTGTTGTTGTAAGCTGGAGTTCAGTGTTAGAACATGAGAGAGAGAGAGAGAGAGAGAGAGAGAGAGAGAAGAAAGTACCCACTCTCCTCATCCAGACCCCTATACACCAGTACCAGTCATGATGGTGACATCTGGGGTAGGAGATTTGATTGCTATCCCACCATTCCGTACTCACCAAATGATTATGACTCCAGATACTGGAACCACTAAAAATATCTAGCTGTTTCTCTTCAAATTTGGGTTGAGTTTCCTTTCGCAATACAAACCCTGAGCCTGCCAATTTTAAAGTTTGCAGCTCCAGCTGTTGGGGAGTTATGTAAGAGCAAAAGTGATCAAAGGGCTTCAAGAATGGAAAATGCATGTATCCCCCCACCCCTTGCTTGCATAACTGCTCAAATGGAATGGCGATGCAAAAAGCAATGGAAATGTCCCCTGCCCAGCCTTTCTGCCTCTAATGGCTACCTCTCCAAGGAGGCAGGGTGGGGGTGGGAGTAACAAGGGAGAAAAAGATAGTTTTTATTAAAAAATTTTGCTGGATTCAAAGGTAGTACAAGTATTCTCTCCTCTCTCTCTCTCTTTCTCTCTCTCTCTCTCTCCATGCATATATATATATAAACTCTAATAAATACATATAATTCTCTCAATGTTATTAATATATCTAAATTAATCTGATCTAATATATTATTAATATTATAAATGATGTAGTAATAAATTTTCAAAGTCAGAGGATTAATAAAAACAAAAAAATTATCCAATGTGCCTTTTGGTTCTGATTTTAAAGAAGAAGGAAAGGAAGGGAGGGAGGGAGGAAGGAAGGGAGGGAGGGAGAGAAGGTTATGGGAGGTAATTAAAGTCAAGTGACAGAAGCTGGTATCAACAGAAGCCCCTGTCATTTCTTTAACAAAACTCCAGAACATTCTCAGTATTTCATAGGTCAGTAGGCTGTCCCACTCATCTCTGGAAGCGCCAGCTACCAGTTTCTAGTAGCCCTTGCCCTGACTCCAAATGTGCAGTGACTGAAAGAACCCTAATACCAACCAAACTAAACACCATTAAACAAATGATGTTCTTAGATCCAGGATACACTCGGTCAGAGAGTAGTTTAAGGTAGACTCAGGACACCTATGAGGGCACTAAGGAAACCCATCCTCAAAGAACTGAATTGGCTCAGAGATAGGAATGGGACGGTAAAGGGAAGTTCCAAAGAACCCCCACAGGGTTGAGAAAAACAGCAGAGGAAGAAGTCAGCATGATCCCTGACTACATTCTAACAGTCTCCTTAAGCCCACAGGTAGATGTAGTCCTCGTCAGGGAAACTTCTCTTTGCAGCAGACAGAAGCCATTACAGAAAACCACAATCAATAGAAATGCAGGGTCGTGGAGTCCAGTCCCAACTATACATCTACAATACAATCTCCTGGACCTAAGGCCTAGGGATCCTGGTGGACGAGGAGCCACAGCTAGGGCTAGGGGTCATTGCAGATAAAAGAGGCAGAAAGAGTGGAAGGGACAGAGGAACAGGGAGTTTGCTGGAAGATTGTGTCTCCTTCGACTCTCAACAGCTCCACCTATAAAGAAGTCTCATAAACGTGACTACCTAAACCTGAACTTAACAAGAACAACACCAATATACATGCACCAGTGGGCAGGGAGAGCCCATGAGGCCTCAGCCTACACCAAGAAATCCTGATGACTAAGGAATACCGAGGGTGAGAGAAATAGTCTTCTCCAGGGAAGAGGACAGCAATTAGTTAGCCAGTACCAAATGGTTAGCCTGAAAGCATACATTCAAGCAACACTGTACAGACTGAGCAGGTAGTATTATGTATTTAGGAATATATATGTATATAAACTATCAATTATGTATGAGAGGGTTGGTAAGGAAGAAAAGAAAGGGGAAATGATGTTATTATATTATAATCTAAAATGAATAATTAAAAAATAAAAAAGTCAAGATAGGCAGGATCAAACTCATTACTTTAGCTGACCCCCCCTGACCTTAATGAAGACACGGCTGGTACCGTATCCAGCCTTGCCTTCTCACGGTTCACTCCACCAGCCTTATTTGGGTCTTCCACCTTTCTAGTCTTTATCACTTTACCCATCTGAGGAAGGGGGGAAATGCTGATCTAGAGGACCACTGAGACCCTCCTGGTCTCTCAGACTCAGCATGTTCTAATACCCTTCTCACTGGTTTCTGTGCATACTCTTACAACCATTGCTATTATGGAGAGACAGCTGGTTGCTCTCACTGTCTTACAAACCTGCTCCCTATCTGATCCTAGCTTAACAAATAAAGGTCGGCTCAGCCTGGCTTTCAGGGCTCTCTCTTATCTGCTCTCATTCCCTTCTGAATGATGCCTGTCTTCTGATACCCATCTCTCGTACCCGTGTCTAACTTTCCTAGAAAATAGCATTATCCCAGTCTTCTGAAATCTTTTAGAATATGTGCTTTACAAAGAGGCTTGGAAAGGCTCTGCTTCCTAACTTTTACTGAAACCACAAGCCGGCCAGTTGCTGCTCCGTAGACTACAGTGGCTTCTTGAAGGGGTCATAATAGTTCCAAGAACAATGACACAGAGTGGGATACAACATCTCAACATCAGCTTAGCTGCTTCCTGGCTCCGTGTCTGGGAAGGGGACTTTTTCATCATGTATAGGAATCGGGGCTACCCTATTCAGCAGTGGGAGGCAGGGATCGGGAACTTCAGATTGCTTTAATTGTGTGTCCAGTACCATAATTCTGATTTATAATACAGATCAATTGATTACACATAGAGGACAGGTTTGGCTAAATCTTAGCTATTCTGTACCCTAAGAAATTCACCATATTGGCAAGTACCGATGTTTCATTAGAGATAAAAGGTTTGCTTCTCATCATGGGTAAATCAGCAGAACAGAATGTCTGGGAAACATGTAATATCTATATTCTTTTAACATTAAAAATTTTAAAAAGTCAACTTACTACATTTTAAATATTATCTATTGCAACACGCAGAAAGCAAATTAGTCATGTAGTGTAGAAATTAAATGAGACAAAGTCTACACATGTGTTTGCAGGCATCAAAGTGCCTTGAAGCATAGCCTCATTTCAAGTATTTGATATATGTGACCTATGAATATATAAGATGCTCTCACCATGCGACGTTAATTAATACCAGAAAAAAGAAAAAGACAGCTTAAACTAAATCTATTTTAACAGAAATCAAGTTTGACAAAGGAAATAGCAGTGAGAAATGAAAACTTGGACTTAGCATTGCTCTGAAAATGAAAGCGAAAAATAATGAAAATAATTCCCTACCTTACATTTCCTACTTTTTGTTATTTCATCTCTATACTAAGTAAAGGGACGACAAAATCCCTGGAGCACTGTGCACACCGTATTGAGCAAGATCGTATTGCAGCACAATACAATGAGTTGACTTCACGGTGAACCCCCTCCAAATCCTCAAAGAAGAACAGTTTCCAAGGGCACTTCTAGGTTCCTGAGCTTCCCCTGGGGGCTGCTTTCTCCTGAGAAGTTCCACCAGCTCACCACTCTCCTCAGCAATCTTCTTTAATCTTTGACTGCTAACAGCCTGCTCGCTTCTCATCTGATTGAATAGATCCCTAACACCAATCTCACTGACGCTATAACAGGAATATTCCCAGGTAGGTCCTTGGGCAGCAGAGCAGAGGGTGCCTGAACTGTCCTTGCTCCACTATCACGCTGATGATTATCTCGAATATCACCATAGAATCTTCGTCCGGTGACAGATGGAGATAGAGACAGAGACGGTCGGAGCAATGGACTGAGCTCCCAAGGTCCAGTTGAAAGGCAGAAGGAAGGAGAAGACAAGCAACGAAGTCTGGACCGCGAGGGGTTGGTCCACCAACTGAGGCAGTGTGTCTGTTCTAACGGGAGTTCACCAAATCCAGCTGGACCGGGTCTGAATGAGCATGTGATCAAACTGGACTCTCTGATTGTGGCTGACAGTGGGGGCTGACTGTGAAGCCATTGATAAAGGCACTGGAACTTATTGTAATGGCATGTTCTGGCTTTTTGGGACCCTAGTCTACATGGATGCACAGTTCCCTAGGTCTGGATATAGCGGGGAGAACCTTGGACTTCCCACAGGGCAGGGTTCCCTGCCCTCTCTCAAGCAGGGTATGAGAGGGAGGAGGGGGTGTGGTGGAGCAGGAGGGGATTGGGAGGAGGGAAGGAAGTGTAAATATTTGAATGGAAAAATAAAAATAAAAAATTAATAAAAAAAACTTCAAATGCATTCAATGGTTCAGGTTTGCTTTCCTGTCTTGTTTTCCCAATATGGTTTCAGCTATTTAGAGTATCAATCAGTTCCTAAAACACAAAGAGAAATGTTAAAGTAGATTGAGCGTGGGGTTTTGTAGGTTTGTGTTTGTAAGACAGGAACTTGGCTATTTAACTACGTAGCTCACGATGGACTCAATTCGCACACCACCTCTTGCCTTGGCCTCCTGAGTGCTGGGATTCCAGGCGTACACTGCAATGGCTTCACTTTCCAAATTGTTGATTTATCCACTTTGGTGTAAGCATCGCTTGCTTCCCTCTGCAACCGTGCTATCTACAAGAGATTGAGTGATGAAAGCTCTAGTAATGGGAACACGGTTCTTCATTTTTATTTCCGATGAAGCCCATCCTGTGGTCTTACAAGACAGGCACTGGTTTCTCTTGACCAAATAAGTAAATGGAATGAGTGAATAAATGAAGAAACAGAAGAAAGAAATGAACAAACAGCAGCTCTGGGCTTCTACTGTAGTGTTTATTTATGATCAAGAAAGCCAGAAACGACAATAGCTAAACAGGACAAACATGGCATCTCAGGTAAAAAAAAAATGAATGAAAACTTGGTCTTCCCTGGATTTGTGATAAAAATGTGCAGGTCCCCAGTAGGCCCATGTCTACACACAGCCGCAGAAACACATTTATAAAGCTAAGAACCCTTGAGACAAGAACTGACACTGTGAGCTTCTGCATACCAGACACGGACGCATAGTCTGATCAGTCGTGATATCCAACATGATCAAAAGGGGCCTCAAAGCTCCACAGTGAGAACAATTAGTTGTCACAAGACAGTATTTCACTCAAGGATTCAGGAGGAAGATTCTTCGTGTTATCTAAACCTTAATTTTTTAAGATCTATTTATCTTATTTGCACGAGGGATGTAGAAGAGTCTTCTATCTATCTGTTGTTTTCATTGGTTAATTAATAAAGAAAACTGCCTGGCCTGATAGGTCAGAATATAGGTAGGCAGGGAAG